ACAAACACACACACAGACAACCCCGTAACAATATGCGTTTTGTACTGCTGTTACACAGCACAAATCGCATAAAAACGAAGAGAGCGTGATAACCAAAAAAGCGGGACAGAAACATGAATGTTAATTCTACAGACGAAGAGAAGAGATCGAAATAATGGAAGGAAGCTAGAGGCGGCGAGGATTCAAAAACTGACACATCAACATCGTAGAGCTCCTCAATTCCGGCAAGCGGATCGTGATCACAGTAGACGAGATACATTGGTGATAATATTAGTGTACACATTAATAATGCGATGCAAAATTTCAACGTTTTTACGCAGCTCAAACGAAATCGCTGAACAATGAAACCGCTAAACACTGTACCCATTCCAGCCATTGGTACCATTATGCACCCTGAAAATGAAGGAAGTTATTTTCTTCTAATTTAAAAACAAAAAATTATTCGCAACATAAAATGGAAGCAAACCAAAGGAATCAAATTCGTCCATAAAATATTAGAAAAATATCCGGCTCAGCTGTATTCACAGACCAGTTCTCACACTAAGCAGTCGGCAAATTTTTCCAGCTGCATACCATCGCCAGACGGCTAGCCCTCTGGTAATCTCGACCTTTTTGTCATCTGAAGGGATTACTGGTTCAACGGTTCCCCTGGCAGAAACACTTCTTAAAATGTGCGCACTGAACACTCCTGTTTTGCCCAATACGTTGCACGTAAACTTTTGCCCAATATGTTGCACGAAAACCACAAAGAGGCAGTTAGAACGCAAAAACCCAGAGAAATCGTACAGTAAAGATAATTTAGAAAAATACACTCACGTTAAGATTCAGTGTAAGGTAGAACTGTGTAAAGCTGAAGTAGTCTTTTTTGAGTCACAATTTTCCACTTAAAAGTATTTAAAAATATAAAAAAAAAGTACTGAAAACATCACAACCGTTGGGCAAACGATATGCCTAACCTATGCCAGTGGTGCTATTGGGATGCCTAGTCGCCTGAAAAAAAATAAACCATGCCCAAAAAGATTTTTAAGCTAAAAAGTTATCATGAAAATTGTACCAATTAACATATTTGCCTTGCTTGGTGCAACGCTGAATTGACGCTCAAGATATTTCGACATGAAAGTCGATGCTCCCGTTATAATGAAACCTGAAAAATTCGTTTACATGAGAAATTACACCACAAAGTGGCACTTTCACGCCTCATCTCTAATGAATTGCGTTAATATGTGCTCCAATTTGATTCGTTTCAGCGATAACCAGAAAAGTTAACATATCCGGATTTCGAAGTCCAACCCTCAAAATAGGGCAAGAAAAAAGAGGAATGTTATTAGAATCAGTTCTAATAAGAAACGTTTGCGAAACGAACAAAAAGTCGTTCTGCCAAACACGACCAATGAGGCGAAAAACTAGAAACCTTTGTATATAAAAAGTAATATAAATTTGGGGAAGAGAAACAGCATTTCTAAGATGACGTTACTTTGGTATGTGCTGGTTATTACAATATATTTGTTGCACTACACATCAGCAGGTAAATTTAGATAACTGTTTTACTGCGCTACTTTTTTCGAACATTTTTATGCATTTTGCGGAGTAACAGTTGCACAAAACGCATATTGCCCACAGACTGTGTGTGTATGTGTGTTTGGAGTGCGTTCCGTAAGGGGTTTTGAACTCAGGGACCGACAGATCTAGAAAGCTTAAATTTCCGGGCAATGTTTCACGCCCACGCCGTTTCGCAAATTTAAATCTCAGCTTCTGTGGAAGCCTAGGTCTCATGTACGGATACGCCCTTGCAGGAGCAAGAAAAATTGGATGAATTGTTGAGAGATGTCCTAAGTCTGTGTTTGTTCCAAAGATTTCAAATTCACTTTCCAAGTACGGACATGTGAAAAGTTTTGGTCGGAAATTTACTTGCCCCAGGACCAGAAAAGCTAGGATGCTGAAATTTCAAGAGGATGTTTCATGGCTGTGTGCGACCT